TCTCTGGTTTCGTTTAGGATTATTCCTAGACGCTAGTTTCGAAACAGGAATGAACCGCCCGCACAACTTTCTAGAATCATATGGGTAAAATTCAAATCGAAATCTTATCGTCAATAAAATTTTAGATGTTGTACCCATCGAATATCTGAAGAAGTTGGCCGACCCGTTGAATGACAATTGTTATCGTTTTCATCAAATCAATATAATTAATTGTTGTTACTATCTGTGAACAGTTTGAAATAAATTCGTTCGTTCCTGTCATTGATTCTCCTGTCCAATTTTCCGCATTGTGTTGCCCTAACAAATGCTTTAGTCAAGCTTCTTCGCCGTATCTACCTGAGACCAAACACGAATGAATCCAATATGATAAAGTTCACGATGCATTTGCCTATATGATGGCATTTGATTGAACTTCACACAAAACGCACATTATCAAACAACAAATGCATTTCAGTTCGAATGATTGCTGCTCAGGTACATTTTGCAAAGAGGGTATTGCCTTCTTTATATGATTGATTGATCAAATAGTTAATTATATAAAGAGATATTCAAGCATTTTAAACAATGGGAACTGGTGGTTTGGGCGAACTGCAACTGACTGATAATTGAGAGGGCAAGTTTGTTGTACGACTTACAGTTGGTTCACTTTCGATTACTTCTGAATAATTGAAATTGGCAAATGTAACAGACATACTTATGGGATCTGGAGTTGTTGGTGAAGAAAAAAAGAAGGAAATGCTATTTCCACTTAAGTGGTCATGATCGACAGTCGCTTTGTTCGTCGCAATTCGATGGACTTCTCAATGCTGTCGGTGCCAACAGGTAAAAGTAGAAAAGAAAACTGAATTTCTAAGGTCAATAGCAACAGACTGGCAACTTCTAAAGACCAATTGAAGCCTCAACTAGTAATTATGAAGATTAATACTCAATATATCCACCATCGTTTCTGTATCTTTCAAAAAAGAAAAAAGAAAAAAAGATTTGTAAACACAATGAAACAATCGCTCCTGTCTTGTG